TCTCATACAATACCTGCCTCAGACTAGACTAAAGAGGGATGAATTTTTCAGACTGTAGGTTCTTGCTTGCCTAATTATGATTTTCAGCTTCTTTCCATTTGGTCTTTGCATTGTGTAAATGTGACACACGAGGAATAGCTGTGACATTGCCTGGCGTTTTCTGTTCCAGCTGGGGAGGAAGCAGCTAAACCTGCAGGGTTTCAGAGCTTGCAGGGCTGGTGTGGAAGGAGAATTTAGTTTCACATTTGGGAATCAAACTCAGTTCCCTGAGTAATCTAAATTGTCACAATTTCTCTTCCTCCAGCGCCCCCAGCCTGGGGACAGTGTCACTCTTAAGGGGTAACTTTGGCACCCTGAGGCAGTGCAGGCAGAGCAGGATTGTTGTATTCATCCCAAACATGAATTCAAGGCAAACAGCCTTCATCAGCTCCATTGGTTACATCTCTATTGGAACCTTTCAGTGGCTTAAAATCTCCACTGTGGGTTTTGACTTCCCTGTTCAGTTGCCTCAACAGACACCTTAGGTGCCTGAAGCTGCACAAAATGGCTTTTGGATGAGCTCAGGACTGGCCAAAGCCTCAGCTGCTTTGGCTTGCAGGATTTGTGGCAGCTGCAGCTCCAAATCCAGCCTGGGATGGGTCAGTGAGATGGACAGAGAAGGCATCTCTCACTTCAGGGAGTTCTCTGCCACCATCCATCTTCTGGAAGAGAGAGGAGGAGCTGCCCTGGGTGAGAGCAGAGCTCCAGAGCAGGGTGAGATGTGGGTCACAGACTGCTGGGCATGTACTAAAGGGGTCAGCAATGTTGTCAAAACCGTGGCGTGGGGTTTTTCTGGAGCCCCAGAGCTTGGTCTGTGATGTGGCAGCTCCATCTTCATCCGTGGTGGGAGCAGGAAAGAGCTTGGATGGACTCAGTCCTTTGTGCTTCAGGAGTGCCAACAGTATGAATAATGTATAGGAGTTCAATTCTTCTCTCCCTAGCCAGGGGCAAGGTGTCCCAGCTGATAAGAACTGGGAGCCCAATCTTGTTAAAGCCAGTGTTAGACTTAGACCTTCATGAGATCCACTGCCTCGAGCAATTCTATTGTTCAAAGCACATTTGGTTAATTAGTACATTAACTAATAACCTTCTCAGCATCCCAGGTAGGGAATATCTGTCTCCCAAAGGAGGAAACAGGCAAAGTGACTCACTAAGACTGCATGCAGAAGCTTAGCAATGCAGCTGTTAAGTCTGGGTTTTTCTGTCCCAAGTGATTTTGTGTGACTGCTGCTGCCTTATGCACATAATTTACTCGAGGCAGAAATGGAGGAGTCCTAAAAATTCCCAAGAGAGTGCTCAGGCCCAGTGAGGGAAGGTACCCCTGGACAAACCTGAGAGGAACTGAATCTGTCCAAATACTCAGAGGAGGCAATTTGCTTCACCCAAATGCACCAACTAAGGAATAAAACCAAAACCACTTCACCTCATTTTCAAGGAAATTTTTCTCACCTACCTCGGCTTTTCACTCAGATCTTCATCTACTCTAAATTTCATGAGCAAATGGCCAGTGTGGGGAGGAGAGAGCACACAGGAATGGCAGTGGGGCTGTGTTTGTACAGGCTCGCTGGGATGGGATCAGACCAGAGGGATAATTCCTGAAGAGATTCAGACAAACAGCCAGAGGGGAAACTTTGATGCTGAGGAAGGCCTTCACCTCCAACACATGATGATGAGCAGCTGATTTACACAGCTTTGCAGCGTGGTTGGGAAAAACCCTGAGCTGAAGCACAAGGGTACAGTTCTTTGGCTTGCCAGACCCATGACAACGCCACAGACCCTTTTTCATGAGCCCTGATCCCAAACAGAAAGGAGAAGCTTGTTCTCTCCACCCAGCTCTGACCTGAAGCTCCCTGTGCTTTTTGCCTGCTCTCAAATAAATCAATTCTCAGCAGCAAGGATGTGTATGCAGAGGAATGAGAACCAACTCCTGCGTGCAGGGATCCATCCCTGAGGAGGGGAACCTCACAGGGTTTCATTATGGGGCCACGTGTGCCTTATCAGTCTGCTGGCTTCCAGCAGCCCAGGCAGCCACAGCCCTGCTCAAGGCTGGAATGTCAAGGGAGTGCCTGGAATGAGGGACTGCTGAGGTCACAGAGGCAGAAGGCACCAAAGCAAGTGGCCTGTCCTGTAGGAGGGACTCCTTTCATGACCACAGCTTAATCCACCACCAGTTTGCTGAGCCCACAGCAGCCCAGATTGGAGGCTACAAAAATATCCCTGTTCAGCAACTCCTCCCTTGTCCTTTGTGAAGCTCCAGCATTTTAATCATGTTCACACCTCCCTCTCCTGACACAAACCATCTCAGCTCCCTCCCAGGTCCACAAAACCTGTGCATTCCTGGTCTCATTCTCTTCCTGATGCATCAGACACTTTCCCCTCCATCAGCCTCCCAAAAAATCCCCATTTCTTATTCTCTGTATTTCCATCTTTCCCCCCCTAATTTGACTAAGATTTGTTGAATAACCAGCTAGTGCTGAGGGACTACATGCAGCTCTGGGTGTGCTGTTGATAGACTGAGCAGCCCTAGCCCCTTGCATGTCCCCACTTCCATATTTCTCCATCTCAGGACCACCAGGAAGGTGCTGCTGATGTAGGGGAGCTGTTATTGGGAAAGGCAAAACACTCCAAATGTATCTTGTAAATGTGTCTCATCCTGCTCTGTTCCTTTCCACTTGGAATAAGAGTAAAAACAGAGCTCCTCAGGTTGTTGGAGGTTTCTAGAAGAGAATATTGGGTGCCAGAGCAGCTGAAGTTGGTTTTCACTCTTAGCTTCAGCCTGAAATGCTGCACGTGGCCATTCTTGATCTGTTCCTATGCACATCTAGAGCCCTTTGATCATCATTCTCCAACCTGTCTTGCTGGTTTTCCTGGAAGAGTATTCCACAAGAGATGCACTATTCTCTCCATGCACAGGCTTTCAAGCAAGCCTTGTCTTCTCAAAGCCTAGTAAAATAAACCAGACTTGGATCTCTCAAATTCCTTCAAAATTCCCAGACTTTGAGGTTAATACAAAGGGCACAAACCCACCTGTGGGGTCACATGGCTCCACATCAAACCCATAGCAGAAATCAGGATATCCTGAGCAGGCTCTCAGTGGAGTTTGTTACAGGTGATACTTACTTTTAGGGACATTTTAATAAGCCTAATCAATCACAACAAATGACTAATAAATCCATAACAATTTTTGCCTGGAGATCTTAGGTTACTCTGCCAGAAATTGCAGTGAGGAATAGTGGTTATTAAAAAAGATCTAAAGATTTAACTTTTTTCACAGGATAATTCAAGATGTTGCCATTATGCTTCTGCTCTGAATTACTCTGCAGAGAAATTACCCTCCCCACTGGCTTGAGAAATCTGAGCAGGTCCAGCCTCCTGTGCTTAAATTTATCCCATGTAAATATGGCACAAAGTGCCTCATCCTATTGACAGCCTTCTTACAGGATTTTCCTACGTGTCCTTTAAGAGCTTCACAGCTGTGCTGGGTTTGGCATTTCCAGTTCCCTGCATCCTTAAGGGATAGGACTTCTAATGGGGAGATCCTACCAGTCCTAAATCTTGGAATATTTCTGATTTTCACAGCTTGTCCCATCTACACAAGCAGACAGCCCAGGGGCTGTTTGATTTGTGTCTTCCTAAAGGTCTTCCCATGCTGGGTATTCCCAGACAGGTTTGTGAGGTGTTTGCCTTGCTCTAAAAACCTGTCATTGGTTTTGGTGAGGATTTGGAGGAACATAACGCCCATGGTGGAGGGTGGGATTCATCTGGGCGTCTCTTTGGATGTAACTGGGACTTCAGCCCTGTGCTTTTGGGAAAGAGGGTCCAGTGAGAGGCTCTGGGTCCTCAAGCCATGGGATGGGCAGCTGTGGTGCTGCTCCGTGGAAGGGCAGCAAGACAGAAGTTGTGGAGGCTTTTTGTGGGCACAAGGTGCTGCTGGAGAGAGCCTCTGTTTCCGAGGCGGGCTCGTCCTGGCGGGAGCGAGAGCGAGCAGGGAAAGCCGGGACAGCTGCTGGGATTGCTGCTCCTGCGGGTGCCGTTGGGATCCGGGCTGTGGAGGCCGCGCTGTCCCCAAGGCGGGTTCCTCTCCCCCTCTCTGCGGGTGTTATTTACACCATTTCCTGCCCAGGGAAGTTCAGGAGTTTGACGTTGCTGCGTTGGTTTCCGCTCTCCTGCCCGGCTCCCTTCGGGAGCTCTCGCAGAGCCCGGCAGCAGCCGGGCTGGACCCCGCGGGCAGGATGGAGGTGCCAGCCTGGCCCAGGGAGGGAAATGTCACCCGTGTCAGGCCAGACAACTCAGGCTCAACCATCTTGGGAGGGCTGGAAATCCAACCCTGCGTCCATCCCTCCGGCTCAGTCCTGCTGTGGAGGAGGAAGGAGGACGCGCCCGGGCATGGCTGCAGAGCTTTTGGGTTCCTGCCGAATCGACGCCCTCCCCTCTCCCCCCTCATCCTTCCCGCCTGGCCTGCGTCTCCCCTCCCTTCCCTTCTCCCTCCCATCCCGCAGCAAACAAAATGGCTGCTCCATGGCCATTTTGTTTCCCGTCTGGAAGGGAGAAGCCGGGACGCTGGGACTTGGCTCTTTTTTGGAGGCTGCGGCCATGTCCGAGCCCAACTCTCCCGTCTCTACGTGGCACCGGCTGTAGCAAGAGAGAGAAAGGGAAAGAAAAAAAAAAAAAAAGAGAAAAAAAAAAAAAAGGACATTTTGGAATGAGACCAAAGGCAGAGGCAGAGAGTGGGTAGTTTTGGCGTATGTTGAGCTCTGAAAATGCCTGGAATTGCCAAACTGAGCTTTTGTATGAGCAGCGTAAGGGCTACTCGGTGCACGCAGAGCCGCGGGGCTGCACGGAATAGCCGGACGGAAAGGTTTGTTCGCTATATTCAATAAAACAGCCCTCCTTTCTTCTGGATTTATAAAGTACCAGAGAGCACTGTTGTCTTAATTTGTTTTTGGACGGGCGGATGGTTTTACACATCGGCTTGGTATGACCAGAGCCGGTCACTGCCGGACGGTAGCGTTTTAACCTGTTGTGTGTCCTCTTGTTTTTGGTGCTCACGGGATCTGACCTTTCCACCGAGCTGGCACTGCCTGGATTTAGCTGATGTAATCCGGAGGATATTTTTTTAGGGATTTTTTTTGTTTATTGCCTTCTTGCCTTGAAAGTTTTCATCTCCGGAATAAAAACATCTTAATTTAAATATTTAAAGCAATAGCTGTTCTTGGCTTTTTAAGCCCTTGCTTTTCTCCCAAGGCTGGAGCTGTACTGTGCTCACAAGCTGTTTACTGCACTCTGTGTGTATCCTGCACGCGTTAAGGTGTGATACACAACAGAAACACCATCAACAGGAACACGCCTTGAAAGTTTAAAGCAACTTGGTGGCGTTACCGTAAAATTTTGCGCAGAAGCGGGGCAAAAACACAAGAAAATGCGCCAAATAAAAAGTGATTTTTTTTTTTTTTTAAGCGATTCTGCATTTCCTTCAGTAGCCTGGATGTCTTGGCGTTAGTAGCCACGTCACTTTGTTTGTGGACACTCTGAGGAGCAGATCCCTGCCCTGTGGCACGGGGGGGGATCAGGCTCTGATAAGGTGCCGGAATGATCGTCCTGCTGTTCCTTGAGTGGCTTTCCAGACATGTGGAGAGAAGCAGACACTTGCAGAGCGGAGCTGGGAAGGAGAGCAGAAAGAGGTGAAAAATGGCTTTCCTTGCACAGAAAGGTATTTGATTTGCCTCCATATCCCCTTGGCTTGTTTGCAAACAGACAATAGAGAGAATGGCAGGGCCACGGTGGTCCCGGAGCCGGGGCTGCACGGGCGGGCGCTGGGCGGGTGCTTCATGGTGCAAATTTAATGTTTTGGTCCAAATCTACATTAGAGGTGCACACCTTTCATGAGCAGCTTATGAACTCATCATTGAGAAGGTTAGCAGTATTAATAGAACAGTTTTATAGAGTGTTACAGAAAAAAATAAAAGGTTTTTCTTTCGATTTTTGAGTTAGCCTATAGCATTGAGTGCAGAACAGGTAAAAATAAGCCTGAAGGATATTTTTTTCCTCTTATTTTTAGTATTTAATGAAATTACGCTGTGAAATACCAGTAGCGGCTATCTTTTATGACAAAAATTCTGGGACTTTTTTTTGCTTCAGGAGAGGGTGAGGTATATACAAATTTAGAAGGAAAATACTTAGAAAATATTTAGAAAAATTTAGGAAAATATTTAGAAAAAGCATTACCTTTATGGCCGCCTTTAATAATGCATTTAGGAAGGGTTAATAAAGGATAAGTCATACAACAAGCAAGTTACAGATGCCTGCATTATAGATAACAATATCAGATTCATTAATAATGATCCAGATGTTTAGAAACATCTGATAGGACTCAACCCCTTAGTGATGAGCAATTGTTTATAAAGATGCCTGCTAATTGCTTAATAATAAATGCGATGACAAAATTGATGTGAAATATTCCCTATGTCATTAAAAGTGTGTGGAGTAAAAGCATTGCTGAGAGCCACGGGCTGTTGCAGCATTGAACTGTAAATATTTTTACTTCCATTTCTCTTTCCCTATTCATGGTGTCTTTGATTAATTGTTTCAAAGTGTGATATTTAATATTGACTTTAGGATGGGGTGTTTGCGAAGGTGGTTGGCCTTGCTTTGCTGAGAGGTTTGCCTGGCCTGGGAGAAGTTATAAACAACTTGTCTTCATGGCTAGTTTGGCAAATGTCATTTTTTACTGCTTTCTCGTGGCACAGGGTGTGTCCAAGATGGGTTTTTGGTTTGTTTTCTGCTTTTTGTGTGAGCGGGTTCCTCGCTGCCGGCCGGATCAGCAGCTCCAATTGGCGCTGTGGGTCCCCACAATATTGGGGAGTTACTGAAAACCTTCCACCCTTCTTTTCGCTTATTTTTGGTTTGATTTTTATTTTATTTTATTTTATTTTGGTCTGTTTGGGTTTTTGTTTTTCCAGCCAGGTTGGGAGGACACGAAGCCAAGAGAACAAAATGGCCACACTCGGCCATTTTGTGCCAACGCCGCCGTTCCAGGGAGCCGGGGCTGGTTCTGCCCCAGCTCCAGGAGCCTGAAAATCCTCTTGGAGACTCAGGGTCCTGATTTCCCACTGAGAAGCCCTCCCTGTCCCTGGCACGTTTCGGCACCGACACAAAGGCTGAAAGTGGTGTCAGCTTTTAAAGCAGAGACTTTGTTGTTTTCTGGTTTCCTCCTCCCCCCTCCTCCATTGCATTCAGTGCTCCTTAATGAACCAGATCAGCTCCTCAAGGCTTCGGAGCCTTTCCAGCTCCTCTCCGAGGTGGGCTCCTTTTAAATGCAGACATTTGGCCATGCTCAGCAATCTCTGGTACAAAGATGTTTCAAAGTTTGGGGGACGGCGTCTTGGGTTTTCTGCTGGGGTCATCACAAGCCACCCTGAGCCCTGATAAATGAGGAGCAGTTTAGGTCACTTGGATCCCAAAAACAAGTCTGAAAGCTGGACTGGAAATGCCATTTTTATTGCAGCCTGGAGGATCTTGCTGTGAAAAAATACCCTTTACCTCCCAATTTTCCTCACCCCTCCAAGCACCCATAGACAGTGGGGCCATGTAGTGACACACTCTGTGCTCAGGGACCTTCATGCAGTGGCTTGCAGAAACAGATGAAGTGTTTTCACAGAAATCAGATTTTATCAATTTTGAGGGATTTCTATGAATCTGGAAAGTGGAAATTACAGGGCCACTGCCTTAAGGCGTGCACAGAAAGTGATGTTTTTTGAAGAGGTTCTTGGCAATCAAGGATCCAAAAAATCTTGGGTTTAATCTGAGAAGGCAGTGAGAAGCTTTGGGTGTGGGTCTCTGACCCCTACAGACCCTGTTGGCTGTTTAATCCAGAATTTTGCATAGCTGCATCACATCCAGGCAAATTTGGGCACATCTCCTTCCTTCCTTGTCTTTTGTCTTGATGGTTTAGACCTCGGGCCATGAGGAGAGGGAATTCCTGTCATTGCAATTTGTGTAGGACAAACAAGTGTGACAGTGATACTAAGGGTAGGATGCTCTTAGTCATCCTTACTGGGCATAAAAAATCCCCCTGTTTGATCCATAAATCCTCCTGTTTGACTCCTTTCTTCACAGATCCTGCTAAAATCAGGATTCCAGACTCAGCAGCTGGGTATTCCCAAAACCTATACTCATTAAGACAATTATTATAATTAAGTCTTCTGTTTTCAGGTTTACTTATAGAAGTCAGAAGGGATTTTTTTTTCTCTCTCCATGTATAATTACATCTATGTGAGCTCAGAGTTATTTAATGTAATTTTCCACCAACAGTTTGAGATATGCCCAAATGCCTGTTGTCTGCAATGGCATCAAGAGTGACCTTTGAAATGCCTGCCTGATACATCTGGCTTATGTGGTTAAAGTAATACAAACCACCAGATTGGGAATCAGGAAAAATTATTCCTCCAGGCGAGTTGCTAAAAGTCTCCTTGGAGAAGACAAGCATCCTCTGCCTCTCTGCATCACCCAGGACTCATCTAGACCACCCACCCTCCCAGTCCCTGACCAGTGCAGCATCTGCTGGTTTTCTTGCCACCCTTCTGCTTGGTGCATGTGGCAGCAGCTTAATTTTTGGGAAGCTGAAACATTTTGGTTTAAACTAACCCTTCTGTCCCCAAGGAGCTGAGCAGTGCCAGACCTGATGGACCCCAAAGCCTGGCTGTCACCTCACCTCAGCTCTGGCTGGTTGAGGAGGGATGTGCAACCCCTGTGCATCACTTTCTATGCTGATAAAACCAGGAGAAACAGCATTTCCCATCAGGAGGCTGTTTGGGATGCACTTGGCACCGGGGATGGGCTGGGCACTCCAGTGCTGTAGGGTCCAGTTCTGCCACGTTGGGTTTTGATGCTGTTCATGCCCTGTTACACCAGCACAGGCCTGGGCCAGCACAGTGGGTCATTCCCTGTCAAGGACCAGTTTGGCAAAGGAAATTAAGAGAATTACCTGGACTGTGCTGAATGCCAGTGAGGAGAGCCCATGGAGAGCTCTGGAAGAGGGCACTTCCCAACCCTGCTGCAGAGATACCCTTGCACCTGAGGCCATCCTAAACTCTCCCAAGGATTCCAGCTACAGTAGCTGACCAAAACTTTGGGATTATTTTGCCTGTTGCCTGGTAGCTGTGGAAGCACAAAGCATTAGGCAGCTTTTATCCCTTTGGAAACTCCCTGAGCCCCCTCCTCTCCCACCACAGCACTCAGCAGATGCTTGTGGAGGCTGGGGACATCTCCTGCTGAGCTCCCATGGGAAGTGATCCTTTGGGGCTGTGCTGGGCTGCACATGCAGCCTGCTTGGCGTGGCTCCCTCGTCGTTAGGGCCTCTTTCATCTCCAAGGGGAATTCTTTCTTCTCCTTGCAAAAGAGCCTCACACGTTCCTTTCAAACTCCCAGATTAATACCTCGCCTCTGTATTTGGGTGTACAGAGAGTGAAGAAGCCTCAGAAGGTGAGCCAAGGGCTTGGGGGGAAGCCAGTCTGTCTCAGATCCATGCTAATACTGCTTGGCTGGGCTGCAGCATTAGAGGGACAGCACGGCTGCATGTTGCACTCATTTGTTTAGGAAATAAGATCTGCCTTGATGTACTCGATACCATTACATTTGCAGCCTAAAAGCTTCCTTGTACTTAGTTATTTCTAATCTGCTCAATTCCCTGGAGTGCACAGCAGCTAAATTGATGGATTCTCTTATCTGGTCTGGCAGGTTTGTTCTAGATATGCTGTGTGTTCAGGAGGTGAGGTCAGCCTGGCTGGGTGTGCTTGGCGCTGCTGCAGCTTCCCGAGAGCTCTGCTATCTCCGTGTGTAGCCCCAGGTTCCAAGGGCAGGGCTGCTGCTTTTGGGCACCCTTGGGTGCATGAAGTCTGCAGCTGGTGTGATTGCCAAGCACAAGGTACAGTCCAGGTGGGCTGAAGGAGGTTTGAAGAAGGAGAAAGAGCTCCAGGACAAGGCTGGATATGAGTCCTCTCCCCTGCCATCAAGAATTCTGATTTTTCATTCATTCCTTCTTGCAGGACCTACAGAGCAGCCAATGCCTGGATAAGGCTGATCCCAGTGCCTGGATAAGGATCATCTCAGTGGATGGATAAAAATCATCTCAGTGTCTGGATAAAAATCATCTCAGTGTCTGGATAAGAATCATCTCAGTGCATGGATAAGAATCATCTCAGTGCCTGGATAAGAATCATCTCAGTGTCTGGATAAGAATCATCTCAGTGCCTGGATAAGAATCATCTCAGTGCCTGGATAAGAATCATCTCAGTGCCTGGATAAGAATCATCTCATAGCCTGGATAAGAATCATCTCAGAGCCTGGATAAAGATCATCTCAGTGCCTTAGGCTGCCACGGTCCCAAGCTGTCCTTGAGGCTGAGGTAGTAGATTGAATAGTTGTGGAGTCTGGTCCTCCCTCTGAGCTAACTATACAATCTACTGTCTTTCCTAAGGAGACAGTCAGGTCTTCAGCTCTGCTCGTCCACTTCTACACCAGGTGTGGGGCAGGTGGTGCCAGAAAAGCAAATCCCTGCCCGTGACCCGTCTGTTCTGCTCTGTGGAGGTGAGGTAGTAGGTTGTATAGTTTGGTGGGAGGGATTTGATCCCATTTCAGGTGATAACTATACAGTCTATTGCCTTCCTTAAAGAGCAGCAAAACCACGGAGGAGCTCCTGAGGCATCGCTTCTTTTGTGGAGGATCCAAAAAAGCAGCATGGCATTGTTAAACAACTCAGTGGGTGTTTCTCTTACAGCATCCAGAATTGCATTCTTCCAGGAATTGCTTCATGCCTCAGGCACTGGTGCATGGAGCCGCCTGCTTCCAGGGAACCCACCTCTCTTTAGGATTCCAGAGAACCAGGGAAATGAGTTTGCACAGCAGCAACTCAGTGTTCAATTCTGTTCTTTTTTTTTTTTTTTTTTTTTTTTGTTTGCAGGAGATGGATTCAAGTTGTAAAATGTTTAAATGTGTTGATCTTTTCTGGTCTGTCCTCAGGTCTGGAGGGGAGAAGACACTTTTGTATAAATGGGACGGATCTGAGCTCATGATTTAATTTTCTTGTGCTCAGTTCTGAAGTTTGAGTTCAGAACCAGAGCCAGGGGCAAGCTCAGCCTGTGGACTCAGAGCCCTGGGAGCTGATCAGATTTGGCTGCTTGGCCCCTGCTCAGGAAGTGCATTTTGTTTTGGACGAGTTCCCAGCCTGTCCCATGGAACAGAGTTAGAGGGTGGTTCTTTCTGATCTGATAATCCCTTATCAACTGAACTCCCTCACATGCAAACCTTGTCAGGGAATTTTGGGGCTCTTGGGTATTTACATAGGGTGAACCAATGATTCCAACTAAAATCTTGTCCTAAAGTGGAGACAGGTAAGGAAGAGACTTGAGGCAAAAGGAGCAGGTTCTAATCCTTCTGGGTTCTCCCCTGACAACAGACATGAGAGAAGGCATCACGCTTCAGAGCTCTGCCCCTGGCAAGGGACAGGGAACTGTTAATTTTTGTGTTTCTTAGGAGCAGATGGGACGATCCCTCTGCCGTTTTCCAGAGTGAGTAGGATCAAGACCAGGAGTGGAGCTGTAACACGATCAGGGCTGCACCAGGAAGGACATTTCAGGCCATTATCACGACCATCTCACTGCCAGGGAGACTGCGAGACCCGAGCCACCGGGGAGCGAGGGCAAGCAGAGGACACCTTCTCAGATGAAGTGGGAGGGAGAGAGCAGAGAGAAATTGGAGCCCTCCAGTTTCACCCTGAGCAGAGGCACAGGCAGAGCCAGAGCTGGCTGCTGGGAGTCCCCAGAATGAAGCAGAATTTCAGGCCCCTCTGCTGGGACAGGGCGGAGCTGCAGCGGGGCTGGGACGCAGCTGCTGGGTGGGGATGCTGCAGCTCCGAGCAGAGAAGGAATGCAGCCCTCCCGCCATAAATCTGGCTTTTCAGCAGTCCTGGCGACTTGCTGTGCAAAAAGCTACAGCTTGGTCCTCTGAGCTGCATTATTATCCTCCAGCTGCTTGCTCAGGGGCAGGGGTCCTGACCACAGATTGCCTGGAAGGTACCAAAATAGCAGCACAAGGATGGGAACAGGGCAGCATATCCACTTCATCTGGAGAGGTGTCCCCTGGAAAAGGGCTAATCCCACGTGTCCCAGATGGAATCTCTTCAGTCCCCCTCCATGGCACTGATATTAACTCAGAGAATCTCAAACAGTGGAACTGTGTGAGCTGGAAGCCATGAATAAAATATTACTGGAGATATTCCCTCGTGAAAATAAACTTGGTTTGACTTTTTAAAAACTGAGTCTTTTTATTGCCCTGAAGTGGGCTTGGCTGGTGAACTGGGACCTCTTGAGGGGTGATCACTGTTCCTGACTGACCAAAATCCTGGGTGTGAAAGGGAAGCCACGAGATGAGGATGTGGGGCAGACTGAGTTGGCCAAGCAGCTGAGACCATGTGTGCTGGCTGTCAGCAGGTGCTTTCCTGACACAAATTTTCAGCACAACTCTTACACAAAGCCTGACCTGCTTCCTCACCCTGAATCAGATCAAGGGTTGCAGGTTGGGCTTCCCTCTGCCCTGGATAGTCCTTGCTATAAACAGGTTTATAATGTGCATACCAGCCAGAGGAGAACACAGGGTTCACTAACCCAAATAAATCCCATCAAGGGCTAAGAAACCAGCCCAGGTAACGTTTAATTGCTCCAATGGATCCTGGCCCAAAGGAAAGGGCAGCTTTGCCCAGGAGGAGGGTGACCAGCCAGGCTGAGCTTACACCATGGATCTGTGGGACACCAGCCTGACTCAGCCAGGATCCCACAGCACCTGGCACTGGGGCAGCCACATCACCCCTGACCACAGTGGCAGGCAGGAATGGGCACTTCCTTTCAGCAAAAAGCAGCCAGGAGACAAGATCAAGAAAGGTGAGACCTCCCCAGACCATCTCAAGACACAGTGGGATGAGAGCACTTTCAGCCCAAACACTCTGAGGGAATACTTGGAAGGTGGAGGGAACTGCCAGCAGCATAACCCCAAATACCCAGCAGGGTGTAGGGGCTCACCCCAACCCTTCTGACCCACTGCATTCATGGGAGATTCAGGAGCTGAAGCAAAGGAAGCTCCTCTTGCTCAACCAGCAGCAAACACCTCCCTGACCCTGCTGGAAACAGGCCCAGGGATAGAGGGAACCCAGCAGGTGAGGTTGATAAAGAAGCCAGGCCTCACAAACACCACAAATGCCACCATTTCACCCCAGGCAGCACGGCTGATGGGTAATGCCTTCTCCTCCTCCCAGAAAAAATGGCCATAAGGGTGTAAGAAGCTGGCAGAATGTCTCTGCCAGGGTCACCTCAGTGCCAGAGTCCCCTTTATGCCAAGCCCAGAAATGGAGTGGAAATGCTGAAAAAGTCTCCCTTGCATGCTTCTGTGCACTCCCCTGTGTACCACACCAAACCCTGCCCTTGCCTAAAGCCCCAAATTCAGCATGAAGCCGAGCCCCCAGATGCCTGTGTGGGCAGGCTCAGCCCTGCTGTCCCGGGGAGCAGGGCAAGAGGAAAGCGGATTTCCTTCTGGGTTGGAGTTTGCTGCTGCAAGGATCTCTATAAATAGGTCCTTGCACAACAGCCTGTCCCCACAAGTCAAAACCTCCAGGAAAACAAAACTCAAGGGTTTTCACAGCCCCACACCAGGGATAAAACACTGCAGTCCTGGAATTCTGTTGGTGGCTGATAATCAGCAGCAGCGTTGTGCCTCGATGGCTCTCAGCAGCGTGGGGATCCAGCCCTGCAAAAAATCAGGGCTTGCCCGAGTGCCCTGGTCTTGCTGGGAGGAGAAATGTTCTTCTGCTCTTGGTAGAGTTTCTAGGGAACTTCTAGGGAATATCACACTGTCCTTCACACAGATGCAAAAGCAGACGAGGTCCTGAAATGCTGTGCCAGCTCCGAGCCCTCTCCCCTCACAGGGCTGAGGAGCCGCCTCTGGGGCCGTGTTTTTATCACCTGTCCACAAGGCAGGCAGGGATTTCTCCCCCAGGACAGCGGCAGCAGGAGATAAGAAGCAGCCACGGCACCTGGGCACGAGGTTATTTTGAATCTGATTCTTAACTACACCTGAGGCTGGCAGTGAAAGAAAGCTCAGAGCTCGGGCAGGGTGTGGGGGCGAGCTGAGGTGCCCAGTTCCCAGCGGTGCCTCTCCCAGTGCCATCTGCTGGTCACCTCCTGGCTGGGCTGGGCTGGACTGGGCTGGGCTGAGCTGGGCTGGGCTGGGCTGGGCTGGGCTGGGCTGGGTTAGGCTGGGCTGGGCTGGGCTGGGCTGGGCTGGGCAGGGATGGGATGGGCTGGGCTGGGCTGGGCTGGGCTGGGCTGGGTTAGGCTGGGCTGGGTTAGGCTGGGCAGGGATGGGATGGGCTGGGCTGGGCTGGGTTAGGCTGGGCTCAGAGCTCAGGGCAGCCTGCAGCCACCTGGGCTCCTGCTGCACTGCTGGGGCTGCCCGGCTCCTGCAGAGGGGCTCGGGACAAGAGGAATGAGGAGCTGCAGGACAGCTCTGCTGGGAAAAGCAGGAGGATGGGGAAAAGCAAAAGGCAAAGTCGGATACCAGCATCACTTCAGTGCTGATTCTGCCTCTCAAGGTCCTTGTCCCTTATGATGGATGTTCTGATGTGAAAACACGGCAAAAACAGAATCTGGGGATCTACACTTGGAATTTAACTTTTTTTCTGTGCTGCAAAGATGAAATTGTGTTTAGGGTGTGAGAGACTTGTGCTAGGCTTCCTAAAACAGAGAACCAGATGTGCTCCAGCCATAGTTTTTATTTCTTGTTTTGCTCTGAGCTCTTTTTCTCTTGCTTGCCTTGCCCAAGAATTCCTGGTGGGGACACATTTTTACTTTACACTCAGCTGGATGCTCAAGAAAAATTCCCTACGTCATCCTCAATCCCCATGGCCTCCTGCTGCTTTTACAAAGGTTTAAAAACATTAAGTTACACCCTTACAAAAGGCAGCACATGGATGCTTTTGGAAAGCCAAAAAACCCCTTCAGGACCCACAGAAGTCATGTTGTCTTTTAGCAGTTCTATGTAAGCACATAATTAAGAGCATTTTTAATAGTAAGCAGCTCCCAGGTGTCCAGATCCCCCAGAGAGAGAGTGAACAGACTTTCACAACAGGATTTATTCAGTGCATGCTCTGGGGATGCACAGGACAGAGCAGCAATGGAGGATCTGGATAATGGCCTTCAGGTCATCCTCCACCTCATCTGTAAGAAATGAAAGTTTGCAATGACCAGAGAAGGGGCTGCATCTCCCCATTATCTTCCTTCCATCTGTCTGCAAAGCTTGGCACATATTTGACACACCTGACTGGGAATCCTCAGGTGAAGGGAGGAGAGATTTGGGGTAACAAAACACAGTGGCCCAGACAATGCCAGTGGTCCTGCAACAGGCCCAGGAGCCACCAATAACCTCTAACAATGTCACTTGTACCTCTGGAGCTCAGATTGTACCACCACAAGTGGGGACTTGTTCTCCTTGACCCCACACACACAAGTTACACATCAAGAGGAATCTGTATCTAAATTCAAATACACTGAAATTATGCAAAGAATGAAGCCATGCAGGGAAAAGCTACATGAAGGAGCTGGTGGCCTCTCTCAGCTCTGAAGGTTTCTCTTCTGTGTGTGCACAAAGGTGCAGGCACAGGCGTAAAATGAATCTGGGGCTTGGGAGGAGGCTGCAGAGAGTGAGGAGGAGAGGGGAGAACAGCTGGGCAGTACTGGCCAGAGCTCCACCAGAACCAGGAGGAAACAGAAATCCTCAAAACAGCCACTCTGTTTGGACAAGAAGGGAAAGAGGTAAAACTTGTCCAAAATTGAGACAGACACATTGGGAAGGAAAAGAGCATTTCTGCAGGAAAAATCCACCAAAGCCAACCACTGTGTCTCATCTACAAACACCAAAGCCAACCACCATGTCTCACTGTCCCCAAGTCACCCTGCTGTCCCCGGGGTCAGGCTGTGGCAGGGCCTGCCAGCCACATGGGCAGATGGGTGGGAGAGCTCAACACTTCCAGCCTGGAAATGGAACAGAAGCCAGGAAAAAGGAGAAGCATCCAAGGTCACCAGCATTATGGCAAACACCCTCGTGCCCTCAGGTCTCCTCAGGAAGGGGACAAAGCTGCCCCAGCATCAGCTGCCCTTGGCTCTCTGGGGCTGCAGCAGAGAAGGCAGCGCAAGGAGGGAGCCTGGGAATTGTCCAAGGAGCTCCTGAGCCTGCCAGGGCTGTGGAACAACCAGCGCTGACAAAAGCCTTGGTGAGGGGTGCAGGCACAGCTGAGGAAGACCCTTCAGAGCAGAAGGCCCACCAGGATGGCACTGGGGAGGAGGAAGAGAGAAAGGCCCAAGCAGGTACTGGGGGCTCCTCCTTTGGGCGGATCCACACTTGTCTGGTCCGAGTTTGTCTCCAGTTCTTCGGTGTCCACGGCACCTGCTGGAAGAAGAGAGGAGAACGTGGAGTTAGAGGGGAAGATCTGGCAGAAGAGAAGCTCCCACTCATGCAGGTGTGCCATGACGTGCTCCGTGAGGCAGCAGAGCTCTGCTCCAGGGAAGCTGTGCGTTAGTGGGAGCAGGCTGTGAACGGGACCATGCTGCAGGGACGAGACATCCAACAGCCCCTCAGGGTTAGAGCAGAGAGTGAGGGAAAGGCTTGGTGCCACATACAAGAGGAGGATCCAAAGGACCAGTCTGACACTGCTCCTCCCAAGCCCTCTCCATGCTGCTTGGGGATCCCTGAATGTCCGAGTGTCCATGCCAGGACAAACTCCACGGTCGCCTTACCTGAGAGGGAGGTCTGGAAATGGGGGCTCGGCCCTTTTTTGTCTTTGGAGGATGATGTTAAGCGCAAGAACGTGGGCTCTTCAGGGCTGAGGACCACGGACTTGGAGGGGGTTATGAGCTCAGCTCTATTGAAACCTAGCTTCATCTCTGGAACAGCTTGGCTGAGGGATGGAGATGGACTGGGAAAGGCTGATTTCTCTTTCTCATGCTCTTTGACACCTTTCTGTATTTCTGGGACTGATCTGGGGCTGAAGGCGGTGCCCATGCTTTCTAATAAGGCTGGATCCTCTGTAGTGAAGGAGCTAAGAGGCTCTCCAGTGTCTGCTTCTGGTGATACTTTATAATCTGGGTCTAAGGTGGGCTCAAAGGAAAGAGTGATCTTGGTTGCCTCAGTAGGATCAGGCCTTTCTGGTTCTGGCTTTGTGGTTGTGGCAGTTTTCAGTTGTGTCTTTGCTGTTGTGGCAGGTGCTGGTGTTGTAGCAGCAGGTGCTGGCTTGGCTGTAGTGGTGCTGGATGTTGGGGTGGTGGGTGTTGGTTTGGCTGTGGCTGCAGGAAGTTTTGGCTTAGCTGCAGTTGGGGTGGATTTTGGTGTGGTGGGTATTGGTTTGGTGGTGGTGGTGGTGTTTGGTGTGGTGGGTGTTGGTTTGGTGGTGGTTGTTGTGGTGGGTGTTGGTTTGGTGGTGGTTGTTGTGGTGGGAGTTGGTTTGGTGGTGGTGGTGGATTTTGGTGTGGTGGGTGTTGGTTTGGTGGTCGTGGTGGTTGTGGTGGGTGTTGGTTTGGTGGTGGTTGTGGTGTTTGGTGTGGTGGGTGTTGGTTTGGTGGTGGTTGTGGTGTTTGGTGTGGTGGGTGTTGGTTTGGTGGTGGTGGTTGTGGTGGGTGTTGGTCTGGTGGTGGTGGTGGTTGTGGTGTTTGGTGTTGGTTTGGTGGTGCTGTTTGTTGTGGTGGCTTTCAGGGGGGTGGATGTTGTCTTGGTGGCTGTGGTGGGTGTTGGCTTAGTGGCAGTGGTTGTTAGGCTGGGTTTTGGTGTGCTGGGTGTTGGCTTGGCCACAGTTGTGGTGGGCTTTGGCTTGGCTGCAGTGCTGGTGGCTGCTGGCACGGTGGGCTTTGGCTTGGCCATGACTGTGCTGGCTGCTGCTGTTGTGGGTTTTGGCCTGGCTGGGGTTGCTGTTGGGACTGTGCTGGCAGGTTTTGGCTTGGCTGTGCTGAAGGGTGCCTGTGCTGGGGGTTTGGGCTTGGCTGTGGTTGGGAGTGTGGCTGTGGGTTTTGGCTTGGCTGTGGTAGACACTGGTTTTGTGGGTTCAGATTTGCCTGTGGTGGACACTGGTGAGGGTTCAGGTTCAGCTGTGGTGTGAACTGGTGCTGTGGGTTCAGGTTTGGCTGTGGGCTCTGGTTTGGCTGTGGATTCAGGTTTGGCTGAGGGTTCTGGTTTGGCTGTGGGCTCTGGTTTGGCTGTGGGCTCTGGTTTGGCTGTGGATTCAGGTTTGGCTGAGGGTTCTGGTTTGGCTGTGGGTTCAGATTTGGCTGTGGGCTCTGGTTTGGCTGTGGGCTCTGGTTTGGCTGTGGATTCAGGTTTGGCTGAGGGTTCTGGTTTGGCTGTGGGTTCTGGTTTGGCTGTGGGCTCAGGTTTGGCTGTGGGCTCTGGTTTGGCTGAGGGCTCTGGTTTGGCTGTGGGTTCTGGTTTGGCTGTGGCTGTGGGCTCAGGTTTGGCTGTGGCTGGGGTGGATGGCCTTGCCTTTGTTGTCACAGAGGCCGGAGTGGTCTCTCCTACAACGAGTTCTGGTGAGAGATGAAAAGTGCCATGGGTTAGGGCTGGCTCAGCTCACCTCAATGGATCCCCTGCACTGAGCAGGACCAGCAGAAACCAAGGAGGGGCTGAAACAGCAGCCAACCCCTCTCAGGTCACTCTGGGCTATCCCCCACTCTGGGGTTCCCAACCTGGAGACATCTCATGGCCCTCACAATCTCCTGCCATGCAAGGGGCAAATAATGCTGCCTAACAGGGTACAAGCCCCTCCTTATCTTAAGGCAGTTGTCCTGTCTCATGGTCCAGCCCTGGAACTGCAGTTCAGGGGCTTCCTGACAGCTCTGGGAGGGTTCAGAGCTCAGACCAGCCTGGGGTCTCAGTCCCAACATCCCCCCCAGGGCCACGTGTGGCTCTGCTCACTCACCACACAGGTTGTTCACACAGACTGTGTCCGTGGGGCACATTTCACATGAGGGTCCTTCCACGTAGGGCTTTTTGCCTTTCATGTTACCCCTGGAAGCAGAAAATGCCAAGACAAAGAATGTTGTGGTGTGATGTAATTGCCTGTCTCAGTCATCCCGGTTCTTTCCCCAGGTGTGCCAATGCCCTCTCCCTTCCCCTCCCTTGCCCCTGCTGAGTGCTGTCTGTCAATCCTGGCATTCCAGCAAGGGTGTTGTCGTGTGATTGGCGAAGTTCAAAAGCTGCCTCTCAGCCCTGGGGACATTGGGCCATCCAGGTGTCATTTGTCCCCTCCCTCCCTTACCTGGTTGGTGGCTCCCTACCCCTTCCCTCCCCCTCTCCCTGGGATTAAAAGACACAGCAACCACGGGGTTTTCTTGTTCTGTTGGAATGCCAGGATTGACAGACAGCTCTCAGCAAGGGGCAAGGGAGGGGAAGGGAGAGGTTGTTGGCACACCTGGGAAAAGAACCGGGATGACTGAGACAGCCACTGCATCACACTGCAACAAAAGAAGACATGAGGAAAGGGGAAACACCCATCCCAGAGAGGGGCTGATTCAGCTGGGATATCTTAGCCAAGGCAAAACTTGGGATTAATGTAGAAAACAGGTCTTGGTCTCCTGCCACGGCCTGTCAGGGCTGTTTGCTCACCAGCCTGACCCCAAGGCAGCTAAAGCCAGGGCAGACAACTCTGGGGGGTGAGCAGATCCCTCATCCCCCTCAGAACAGAGCAGGGGATGGACATCGGGCCAGGGAATTCTGTCTCACTTCTACTCCAGACCCCAGGAAGCTCTGCAGCCACCAGCCAGTCTTGGTGCTCTCGGCAGCTCCAAGCCAGTGGTGCCAAGGCTGGTCCAAGGGCTGGGAAGGCGGTGCCCAGCTCTCCTCCCACGTCCAACCCTTCCTGCTGCTGCAAAAGGGCTTCTCCACCCCAGGGAAGAACAAGGCCCGGGGCAGGGGAGAGTTTGTACCCTCAGCTATTGCCACCTCAGCCTTGGGCAGCTCTTGGGGAAGAAGGTCCCTCCCTGGGTGTGTTCCAGGAGCTGAACCAGCACTCAGCAATCACAATCATGGGCCAGGATTTCCAGACAGCCCTTCCTTAGTCTGGGACCAACCCAAGATAACAGCAGCATTATTTGGAACTTCTATTTCTGACCAAGGACAAACCCTGCTGTGACATGAGGGCATTTCCAGCACAGAAACCCCACTGAGATGCACCAACCATGCAGGGGCTGGGACTTACGGGGGATAATAGTTGCAGACCAGCAGGTGCATGTTCTCTGTTTCAATTCCATCAATCTTCTCACAGAAATGTGCCCCGCAGCCGATCTGATGCGTGTTTGACCAGACCACCTAAGGCAAAGACCAGGGTGGAGGTGAGGGGATCGGGTGAAGGCAACTGTCCCCTGGCCTTAAAGGCTGCTCCAAAGACCTCCTCATCCCACAGAGTGTGTCCCAGATCCCGTATCCCCACATTGCTTTGGCATTCAGGATCCACCACCATCTCTGCTCCTACCCAGGCTGTGAAGAAACACTCAGACTTCATCTCTCTGAGAAAATCTGGCACCCAGCTCTGCTGAGCAGCCACCCCTCCACCCCAGCAGCTGTACCTGGGTGTAGTGGCCACACATCTGCCCGGGGACACACGTGGATGTTGTAAAGTTGTAGAATTTCTCCTCCCCGTTCCAGTCTTCCACGGCAAATTCCAGTTCAAGGGTTGGGGCCATTGCAAAGAGGTTTTCTCCCCGTCGGCCTCTCTCCTTGTTGTGGTCCCAGATGCACTTCTCTGCATAGGATTGAGCAAGGGCCTCCAGCTCCTTGTCCCAGGTCTGAAAGGAGCTCGGTGTCAGCACACAGGGAGGGACACTGGGCTCTCCAACAGGAACAAGGCACTCACCAAGGACCCCTGCCCTGTCCGGCCAAAGTTTCCCCATTCATGAGGAAAATTCAAACCCCTGCCCAGCACAGTCCTCAGGAGAGGGGAGCTCCATGGTCAGCCTCAGCACAAACTAAACCTTGGTTTATAGGTCAAACAGGAGAAGGTCAGGGCACCAGCACAACTCTCTCCACATCTCCTGGAGCTCATCTAACACCACGATGGAGCATCCTCAACTCAGCGTGCAGAAACCATGAAGTCATGGAAGAAAGAAGGAAACCCACTGTGGGTCACACCAGAAGGGTCTGGGGCCATCCCTCCTCACCCAGGGTGGGGATGGGAGGGGAATGGGACACATCTCTCCTGGCAGCTGAACAAAGCCTGGGAGCACAGGCTCCTGGAAGCATCATCTGTTTGCCTGGAACCGAGATGTGGCTGCCAGCCAGGAGCCCCGCCACCAGCTGAGCCCCTGGCCACAGGGATGTGCAGGAGGAGAACAGGAGGAGGAGGAGGAGGGGGAGGAAGAGCTTTTCTCACAGGCATGCATATGGGGAATCCTGCACTGCAGCTGTTTGGACCATCCTTGATGGAGAGAGCAGCTTGGCCCTGCAAACAGGGTCCTGAGGGGAACCTTCCTGGACAGAGCCAGGGCTGGATCCCAAAGGTGCCAGACAGGAGGACACGGCACCATTGGGGTGTTGAGGGGATGAGGACAGGCATGAAGGCACTGGGGGGAGGAAACACCTGGATGGGACACAGAGTGTTGGTTCAGCTCCCAGCACGGCCCCAAGCCACGCTGCCAGAGATGGCTGGAGACCCAATGTGGGGAGCACACACCCCTCTCCCTCTGGCACAGAGCTGGGCTCCATAAACGAGGGACTCACACCTGCAGATTTGCCTCATTAGCAAAGGGGCTTTAGGCTACAGATTCCCCCCCCCTTCAACTGAATATTTCCAAAGCAAGCAGCCCCATGTCCCAAAAGGAAGCACAGAGTGACCTCAGCCAGGCACAGTGCCACGGCAGCAGGTGAATCCAGAGCAAACTCAGCCCAAGCAAAGGTCCCAGGAGGGAGGTGAGGACGGTGTTCTCATGGAAAACCTCTGCTGAGGAATCGTCAGGGCTGCTGTGAGCTAAACATTTGCTGGACTTCAAAATGAAAAAGCCTTTGGCCCCAGACCAAGAGCAGGTCCTGTGTGTTGAAGCAGGAGCAGAAGCTGCAGAGGGAGCATCTCAAAGCACAGGGGCTGCAAGCAAAGATTCAGCCAGGAGCAGCCCCACAGGACAGGAATTGACTCAAGGACCCTGAGAGATCATTTCCCTCAGGCTTTCTCTAAGACTTTGGCTCCAAAGCCCCGATACTCTGAGTTTGCTGTGCCTGGTGGGTCCCATGGGATCATGGTGCTGAGGATTCTGGATCTGTCCTCTTTGATTCTGCAGTCACTGGTCCGGCCTTCTCTCCCTGAGTTTAACTTTTTGCTTCTTCTAATTGTTAAGCTCCCATTTACCTGCCCACAAAGGTTTTACTCATTTTGGGCAACTTCTGGGCCAGGCAGGGAGGTGTCCTGCAAGAACAGTGTGACCCAAAGAGTAAAGGGCTCCAACTCTTCATGATAAACAATTGTCCTTCTCTGTGTGATTTGCAAACAGTGAGGAAAAATCGCATGTGGTGCAAGATAAAACTTCATAGCCAAGTTCCAATCAAATCAAGAGTCTGAGCAAGACAAAAAGCAGCACCAGCACCAAGCTTGTTTTTGGTCCTACTACAGCTCCCACTGATGACCTGACTTGATTTCCCCAAGCAAAATAGGGGATCTTGCATCTCTAAGACACCAAGTCATGGTGAGGATTAGGAGTGTGATGAGCCCAAATAACTGAAAGACCTTTACTGATAAGTTGACATTCCCTCCAATAGATAAAAGTACCTTCATCTGCACAGGCAAATACCCAGCATTGTGTGGTGTCCCACACAGCAGGATTCCCTCTTTTCACCTCTTGGAAAACCATGGCAAAGTCTCCAGGTCATGGCACCTGCTCATGGCAGGGTCTCACCTGCCCTTCCTGCCATCACAGGGAGCTCCAGCAGGCACTCATGTGAGCGAGAGCTGCATCATTCTCATGGAAGAGCATCTGGGGACTCACATCACGCTTAGGAACTTCCAGAAAATGATCAAAGACAACTCCAAAGGTAAAGGAAACTCTTCTCTTTAGAGGCAGTTTTGGGAACCCCTCCATTAACACCTATTTGTAACCCTAGATGAGAATTGCTCTGCCTCCCCTAAGGAACTCCCTGACCCCTCCTTGCATTAAGATCCAGCCTTGGACCACACAAACACCCCAATATTCCTCTGTAATAAAAGCCACTTACCATCTTCATCATAGCCTGGGCAGGAGGAGAGACCTGGGAGCGATATTTATTGTGCTCATCCAAGATGATCTTCTTTTCTTCATCACTCAGGCACCAGCTCAGCTCCAGCACTGAGAGCACCAGGAGAACGAGAGGAAGACCTGAGCTCAGCATCGTGCAGGCAGCTTCTGCTCTCAGCAGCCCACGGCTCTGGCAGTCGGATTTAAAGCACCTCCCAAAAGCCAGGAACACCCAACAGCTTGAAGACTGGGGAGGAAATGTATTTATTAGAGTTTTGGAGCCATGCAGAACACACCCATCTCACATATCAGCCTTGATGGAGAGGCAGCAGTGCCAACGACCACGCAGGGTCCTCTCCCTGGGACAGACCCTGTTCCTAAATCCCAATCCCTGGATTGGCATTGTTCATCCAAGCTTCTGCTGCTCCAAACCTCAGCCATCCCTTGAGCCCTCAGTTACGGGTCCTCTCCTCCACCTCCTGTTCCATTTCTCCTAATCTGTAACAACAATCCCACAGCAACTGACAAAGCCCTGTTTTCACACTGGTCTTCCCCCGTGCCTGGAATGCAGCTGCGTTAGAAACAAAGGCAGCAGGATTGAGAGCATTCTGCAGCACTGCAACTCCCCAGACAGAGGCAGAGCCCACCTCTGTGATGGGGGACAGCATTTGGCAGCTGAGGAACAGCCCCTGGGCTGCCCAGCCTGCTGGCAACAGGGGCGAGCTGAGCTTGATGCCTCTGCCCTGAACCATCAGGAGAGGGGGAGCAGGAGAGGAAGAGCAGGGTACAGAGCTGAGATGGCCCCAAACAGGAGGCTGTGGCCGGCTGGAATAACCAGAGCGTGGCTCTGCGGGGCCAGGCTGTGCTCCCTCCGCAGACACCTGGGGGCTCCGCACCCATGTCCCGCAGCCCCGCAGCCGGAGCGGGTCTGGCCGAGCCCCCCGGGCTGCTCCAGCCTCGGTTCCCATCTGCGATTGTGCAAGCGCCCGGCCCGGCTCCAGGAGCTCCGCTGGGATCGCAGAGGATCAGCGGGTGGGCAGCTCTGAGAGCCGAGCCAAGTTCATCACAGCCGCCGGCTCTGCCTCCCCTCCCCAGTCCCCAGGCAAGGCTCTGTCGGTTTTCCTCCGGTTTGGGGCCACACGGGTCACCTCTCTCACCACAACAGCTCTGCTGCTGCCCCCCAGGTCTCTGAGCTCTGTGGATTACTTTGTCCTTCACTAGCTCTGCAGTCAGCCATGCCCTCAATTGTCCAACAATTCCTGCAAGTGGGGTCTGAGGACAAGATCTCACCAGGTCTTCAACCCCGATGGTCAAACCAGAGATTCCCATGTATTGCTAAGGCAAATCTGTCTCTTGATGGAGACAACCTCCACACATTTGCTGTTGGATCTCTGGAGCCCTGGAGAAACATCCAGAAAACATCAACATGGGCTCCAGCTCCTGCTGGCCAGCTCACCATGGCCTGGCTTACAAGGAACAAGGCAGTGCTGAGAATCACAGAGCCATGGAATGGTTTGGGTTGGGAAGAACCTGAGAGCTCATCTCATTCCAACCCCTCTGCCATGAGCAAGACACCTTCCACTGGACCAGTGCAGGTTCTGGTCTCTCCAAAGGTGATGTGGAGATGCAGGGCCAGGCTCCCCATAGGCCCTGGCACTACAGCAGCCTGGCTGAGCCCTGCAGGAGATAACATGGCCACAAGGATGAAGGAAATTGGGATTCACAGAGCTTGTGGGGAAGAGCAAACAGCCCTGGAGGAGTCATCACCAGGGCATGTGGCTCACGGGGAAACGTGAGTAAGAGCTGATGCCTTTGGCTAGTGCAGGGCGGCTGCCAAAGGGGTGCAGGGCCATTTCTCAACTCCCAACCTGCTGTGACAGCTTCTTCTGGAGCCAGTGTCAGAAGCATCAGGATTAGCAGTGCAAGGTCCAAGCCCCACCCTGGAGCTGAGACTCGTGTCCAGCCGGCATTAGGTAAGTGTGTGTGGAATGCAGCTTTCCTTCTGCTCACTCAAGGAACAGCCCATCTCCCACCCCAGGGAGCAGCAGCCACTGCATGGGGACAGGGACAGGAGCCACACACCCACACCTGACAGGCTCTGCTCCAGCCTGGTGCCTCCAGAGAGGCCCCACTCTGCAGCACAGAAGTGACCAAGCCTGAGTTTCTACTGACTCACATCTCGAGGTCTCCAGTGGGGCTGGCTGGTGTCTAACAGGCTCCTGCTCTGCTGTGGGAGTAACAGGATCTCTCTTTTCTCCCTACTCATCTGGGTTTATGAGCTCTGGAGGAGTTTATCATCTTCCACACCATTCATCCATTCTATTATTTAAAAATGCTGGGACACAAATGTTGATGGGGAATTCCTCTGAGCTGGGCAGGGTGACAGTGGGGTACTGTCCAAACCAGTACAGTGAGTGCCAAGGAGAGCTGAGGTGAGGAAAGCCACCCCATCAGTGACTCATCTGATTGTGTCTGTCACCACAATGCCTCAACAGCTGCAGGAACAGCCCCATTCCCACCCAATTCCAGCTCAGCAGGTCACCAGGAACACCAGACTCTCTAGGGAGGTCCCAGCCTCCTGCAGCCTTTCCAAGGATCTGTGAAACTGGAGCTCGGGATGAGGAAAATGACCAGGGCTCACTTGCAGCTCTTTGGCCAAGGTATCAAAACCTACCCTTGGTCATCCCAGTTTTGCCATTGTGGATTTGCCACCCTGGCAATGCAGAAGGTGTGAGCACCACTCCCCTCTGGCAGCTGAAGACAGGAGCTACTCTGGAAGCTGTGCTGCAGACTGGACATTGGCAGATTGGGAAAATTAGATTCCTTACTCCCAGGAGAACTGCCCTCCTGTTTTAGTTTTGCAGATGGTTGCAATGGACTGGAAACAGGCCCAGGGATAGAGGGAACCCAGCAGGTGAGGTTGATAAAGAAGCCAGGCCTCACAAACACCACAAATGCCACCATTTCACCCCAGGCAGCACAGCTGATGGGTAATGCCTTCTCCTCCTCCCAGAAAAAATGGCCATAAGGGTGTAAGAAGCTGGCAGAATATCTCTGCCAGGGTCACCTCAGTGCCAGAGTCCCCTTTATGCCAAGCCCAGAAATGGAGTGGAAATGCTGAGAAAGTCTCCCTTGAATGTTTCTGTGCACTCCCCTGTGTACCACACCAAACCCTGCCCGTGCCTAAACCCCCAAATTCAGCATGAAGCCGAGCCCCCAGATGCCTGTGTGGGCAGGCTCAGCCCTGCTGTCCCGGGGAGCAGGGCAAGAGGAAAGCGGATTTCCTTCTGGGTTGGAGTTTGCTGCTGCAAGGATCTCTATAAATAGGTCCTTGCACAACAGCCTGTCCCCACAAGTCAAAACCTCCAGGAAAACAAAACTCAAGGGTTTTCACAGCCCCACACCAGGGATAAAACACTGCAGTCCTGGAATTCTGTTGGTGGCTGATAATCAGCAGCAGCATTCTGCCTCGATGGCTCTCAGCAGTGTGGGGATCCAGCCCTGCAAAAAATCAGGGCTTGCCCGAGTGCCCTGGTCTTGCTGGGAGGAGAAATGTTCTTCTGCTCTTGGTAGAGTTTCTAGGGAACTTCTGGGGAATGCCACACTGTCCTTCACACAGATGCAAAAGCAGACGAGGTCCTGAAATGCTGTGCCAGCTCCGAGCCCTCTCCCCTCACAGGGCTGAGGAGCCGCCTCTGGGGCCGTGTTTTTATCACCTGTCCCCAAGGCAGGCAGGGATTTCTCCCCCAGGACAGCGGCAGCAGGAGATAAGAAGCAGCCACGGCACCTGGGCACGAGGTTATTTTGAATCTGATTCTTAACTACACCTGAGGCTGGCAGTGAAAGAAAGCTCAGAGCTCGGGCAGGGTGTGGGGGCGAGCTGAGGTGCCCAGTTCCCAGCGGTGCCTCTCCCAGTGCCATCTGCTGGTCACCTCCTGGCTGGGCTGGGCTGGGCTGGGCTGGGCTGGGCTGGGCAGGGATGGGTTAGGCTGGGCTCAGAGCTCAGGGCAGCCTGCAGCCAGCTGGGCTCCTGCTGCACTGCTGGGGCTGCTGGGCAGCAGAGCCACCAGTGACCTGTAACAGCATCACTTGTACCTCTGGAGCTCAGATTGTACCGACACACGTGGGGATTTGTTCTCCCTGACCACACACACACAAGTTACTCATCAAGCAGGGTCTGTATTTAAATTTAAATACACTGAAATTATGCAATGAAGCCATGCAGGGAAAAGCTACATGAAGGAGCTGGTGGCCTCTCTCAGCTCTGATGGTTTCTCTTCTGTGTGTGCACAGGTGCAGGCACAGGCGTAAAATTAATCTGTGGCATTGGAGTGACTGAGGAATGGGATATGTGCCAGAGAGCAAGAGAGAGGGGGGAGGCAAGGGCTGCAGAGTGTGAAGAGGTGAGGGGAGAACAGCTGGGGAGTACTGGCCAGAGCTACACCAGAACCAGGAGGAAACAAATCCTCAAAAAAGCCACTCTGTTTGGAGAAGATAGGAAAGAGATAAAATATGTCCAAAACTGAAAGAAACACACTGGGAGGGAAAAGAGCCTTTCTGTGGGAATCAAACACCAAAGCCAACCACCATGTCTCACTGTCCCCAAGTCACCCTGCTGTCCCCAGGGTCAGGCTGTGGCAGGGCCTGCTGGCCACATGGGTTTGTGGGTGAGTGGGAGAGCCTGGAAATGGAACAGAAGCCAGGAAAAAGGAGAAGCATCCAAGGTCACCAGCATTATGGCAAACACCCTCGTGCCCTCAGGTCTCCTCAGGAAGGGGACAAAGCTGCCCCAGCATCAGCTGCCCTTGGCTCTCTGGGGCTGCAGCAGAGAAGGCAGCGCAAGGAGGGAGCGTGGGAATTGTCCAAGGAGCTCCTGAGCCTGCCAGGGCTGTGGAACAACCAGCGCTGACAAAAGCCTTGGTGAGGGGTGCAGGCACAGCTGAGGAAGACCCTTCAGAGCAGAAGGCCCACCAGGATGGCACTGGGGAGGAGGAAGAGTGAAAGGTCCAAGCAGGTACTGGGGGCTCCTCCTTTGGGCGGATCCGAGTTTGTCCCCGGTTTTGCTGTGTGCAGGGCGGATATGGAAGGAAAAGAAGACAAGATGAAGTTAGAGTAGAAGATCCTCTTTAGTGAAGGAGCTAAGAAGCTCTCCATTGTCTGCCTCAACCTCTGGAGATGGGTCTAACTTGGGCTCAAAGAGTGATCCTGGTTGCCTCATCAGGTCTGTGTGCTCTGGCTTTGTGGTTGTGGCAGTTTTCAGTCGTGTCTTTGCCATTACGGCACATGCTGGTGTTGTAGCAGCAGATACTGGCTTAGCCACACTTGGGGTGGATTTTGGCTTAGCCAGAGTTGTGGTGGGTTTGGGTGTTGTGGGTTTTGGCCTGGCTGGGGTTGTTGTTGAGACAGTGGTGGCAGGTTTTGGTTTGGCTCTTGTGATGGGTGAGAGTTTGGGGGTTTGGGCTTGGCTGTGTTTGGCAGTGTGGCTGTGGGGGGTGGCTTGGCTGTGATTGTGGTTGGAAGTGAGTTTTTGGATGGTGGCTTGGCTGTAATTATGATGACCTCTGATGCCGTGGGCTCTGTTTTGGCTGTGGCTGTGAGTTTTGGCAGGGCTGTTAGGGTGGGGGAAAGAGATGCAGAGATGAAAAGTGCCATGGGTTAGGGCTGGCTCACCTCCACAGATCCATGCACTGAGCAGGACCAACAGAAACCAAGGAGGGGCTGAAACAGCAGCCAAACCCTCTCAGGTCACTCTGGGGTTCCCAACCTGGAGACATCTCATGGCCCTCACAACCTCCTGCCATGCAAGGGGCAAATAATGCTGCCTAACAGGGTACAAGCCCCTTCTTATCTTAAGGCAGTTGTCCTGTCTCATGGTCCAGCCCTGGAATTGCAGTTCAGGGGCTTCCTGACAGCTCTGGGAGGGTTCAGAGCTCAGACCAGCCTGGGGTCTCAGTCCCAACATCCCCCCCAGGGCCATGTGTGGCTCTGCTCACTCACCACACAGGTTGTTCACACAGACTGTGCCCCTGGGACACAGTTTACACGAGGGTCCTTCCCGGTAGGCCCTGTTTTCCTTTATTTTACTCCTGGAAGCAGAAAATGCAAAGATAAAGAAGACATGAGGAAAGGGGAAACACCCATCCCAGAGAGGGGGCTGATTCAGCTGGGATATCCCAGCCAAGGCAAAACTTGGGATTAATGTAGAAAACAGGTCTTGGTCTCCTGCCACAGCCTGTCAGGGCTGTTTACTCACCAGCCTGACCCCAAGGCAGCTAAAGCCAGGGCAGACAACTCTGGGGGGTGAGCAGATCCCTCATCCCCCTCAGAACAGAGCAGGGGATGGACATTGGGGCCTGGGACTTACGGGGGATAATAGTTGCAGACAAGCAGGTGCAAGTTCTCCCCTTCCATTCCATTGATCTTCTCACAATAATTGCTCCCACAGCCAACACGGGTTGTTGCTGCCCAGATCACCTAAGGCAAAGACCAGGGTTGAAGGTGAAGGGACAGGCTGAAGGCAGTCTCTCCTCTGGCCTTAAAGGCTGCTCCAATATCTTCCTCATCTCCCAGCATGTGCCCCAGATCCCTATTCCCACGTTGCTTTGGCATTCATGCTTACCCCTCACCCCTGTCTGAACCACCTTCCCAAGGCCATATATTCCAGTGCCACAGCTTTCCTACCATATAATCTACCCAGGCAGAACATCACCACCTCTGCTTCGGTCTTGGAACCAACCATCCATCCATCCATCCATCCATCCATCCATCCATCCATCCATCCACCCATCCATCCACCCACTTACCACCATCATCTCTTCTCCTCCTTGCTCCCACCCAAGCTGTGAAGAAACACTCAGATCTCATCCTTCTACCCAAGACAAGTTGGCACTGAGCTGGCACTGCTGAGCAGCCAAAAAAAAAGGGCTGCAGAGTTTGTCTCAAAAAAGTTCTCCAAAAGGCCACTCATGGCTGACACCATGCCCAGGTCTGCATCTATCATTGTGAATCCCACCTGGTTCCCTGTCCTTTTGCAAAGATTTTGGGAGGAACTGGGCATTGCTCCAGCTCCTGTCCCAACAGTCCCTCCACCCCAGCAGCTGGTACCTGGACGTAGTTGTCACACGAATGCCCGGGGACACACTCGGATGTCGTCAGGTTGAAGAATTTCCTCTCACTGTTCCATCCTTCAATGGCAAATTTTACATCCAGGGTTGAAGGTATAGCAAAGAGGTTTAACCTGCCTGGGCCCCCGTTCTGGCCCCACTTGCACTTCTCTGCGTGCCTTTGAGCATCAACCTCCAGGTCGGTGTCCCAGGTCTGAAAGGAGCTCGGTGTCAGCACACAGGGAGGGACACTGGGCTCTCCAACAGGAACAAGGCACTCACCAAGGACCCCTGCTCTGTCTGGCCAAAGTTTCCCCATTCATGAGGAAAATTCAAACCCCTGCCCAGCACAGTCCTCAGGAGAGGGGAGCTCCATTGTCAGCCTCAGCACAAGCCTGAGGTTTAACCTGCCTGGGCCCCCATTCTGGGCCTAGATGCACTTCTCTGCATCTCTTCAAACAGGAGAAGGTCAGGGCACCAGCACAACTCTCACATCTCCTGGAGCTTATCTAACACCATCATGGAGCATTCTCAACTCAGTGTGGAGAAACCATCACAGTGCTGAGGGTTCTGGCTCTGTCCCCTTTGATTCTGCAGTCACTGGTTAGGTCTCCTCTCCCTGAATTTTTGGCTTTGTTTGGTTGTTAAACTCCCATTTACCAGCCCACAAAGGCTTCACTCATTCTGGGCAACTTCTGGGCCAGGCAGGGAGGTGTCCTCCAAACACACTGTGACCCAAAAAGGAAAGGGCTCCAACTTTCCAGGATAAACAATTGTCCTCCTCCTCCCCATGATTTGCAAACAATAAGGAAAAATCACATGTGGTGCAAGATAAAACTTCATAGCCAAGTTCCAATTAAATCAAGAGTCTGAGCAAGACAAAAAGCACCAGATCTAGAGCTCGGTTTTGCTCCCACTGCAGCCACATGTGATGTGGGACCTGATTTGATTTCCTCAAGCAAAATGGGGGATCCCTCACATCCAAGGCAGCCCAGCAAAAGGCATGGGGAGGAGTAGGAGCATGATGGGCCCAAATAACTGACAGACTTGACCAACATGTTTGAATTTGATGCAAATACAGAGCACTGTGTGGTGTCCCACACAGCAGGATTCCCCCACCACTCTTGGCAATGACCATGGCAAAGTCTCCAGGTCATGGCACCTGCTCATGGCAGGGTCTCACCTGCCCTTCCTGCCATCACAGGGAGCTCCAGCAGGCACTCATGTGAGCAAGAGCTGCATCATTCTCATGGAAGAGCATCTGGGGACTCACATCACGCTTAGGAACTTCCAGAAAATTATCAAAGACAACTCCAAAGGTAAAGGAAACTCTTCTCTTTAGAGGCAGTTTTGGGAACCCCTCCATTACACCTATTTGTAACCCTAGATGAGAATTTCTCTGCCTCCCCTAAGGAACTCCCTGACCCCTCCTTGCATTAAGATCCAGCCTTGGACCACACAAACACCCCAATATTCCTCTGTAATAAAAGCCACTTACCATCTTCATCATAGCCTGGGCAGGAGGAGAGACCTGGGAGCGATATTTATTGTGCTCATCCACGATGATCTTCTTTTCTTCATCACTCAGGCACCAGCTCAGCTCCAGCACTGAGAGCACCAGGAGAACGGGAGGAAGACCTGAGCTCAGCATCGTGCAGGCAGCTTCTGCTCTCAGCAGCCCACGGCTCTGGCAGTCGGATTTAAAGCACCTCCCAAGAGCCAGGAACACCCAACAGCTTGAAGATTGGGGAGGAAATGTATTTATTGGAGTTTTGGAGCCACGTGGGACACACCCGTGTCACATACCAGCCTTGATGGAGAGGCTGCACTGGGCTGGTGCCAATGAACATGCAGGGTCACTCTCCATGCCTGAATCCCAGTCCTTGGATTGGCATTGTTCATCCAAACCCCTGCTGCTCCAAACCTCAGCCATCCCCTGAGACCCCCATTATGGGTCCCCTTGTTTACCTTCTGTCCTTTTTCTCAAAATCACAGAATAGCTGAGGTTGTAAGGGCCCTCTGGAAATCATCCAGACCAACCCCTCTGCTGCTCCAAACCTCAGCCATCCCCTGAGCCCTCAGTTATGGGTCCCCTTGTTTACCTCCTGTCCTTTTCCTCAAAATCACAGAATAGCTCAGGTTGGAAGGGCCCTCTGGAAACATCCAGTCCAACCCTTCTGCAAGATCACCTGGAACAGGTGATACAGGAACATATCCTGGTGGGTTTGGGATATCTCCAGAGTGAGAGACTCCATAACTCCCTGGGCACCTGTTCCAGTGCTCTGCCACCCTCCATGGGATGAATTTTTTTCTTGTCTTGAGGTGGAACTTCTTGTATTTTGAGTTTATGGCCATTGCTCCTTGTCCTGTTGCTGGGCATCACTAAAGAGTCTGACACCATCCTCTGACACCTCCTGGATATGTTTATATGGACTGATGAGATCCCCCCTCAGTCTTCTCTTCTCCAGACTAACCAGGCCCAGGTCCAGCAGTCTCTCCTCATCAGAGGGATGCTCCAGTCCCTTAATCTTTATGGCCTCCATTGGAGTCTCTCCAGTAACTCCTGTCTTTCTTGGAGACCAGAACTGAACACAGATATGGCCTCCCCAGAGCAGAGCAGAGGGTAAGGATCACCTCCCTGACCTGCTCCCCACACTCTGCCCAATGCCCCCCAGGATCCCATTGTCCCTCCGGGCCCCAGGGCACACTGCTGGCTCATGGCCAACTCATGGAGCCCCTGCTCCTTCTCCAGGAGGTCACCCCAGCCTGTGCTGGTACCTGGGGTTATCCCTCCCCAGGTGCAGGACCTGCACTTGCTCCTGTTGAACCTCATTAGGCTTCTCTCCATCCCACTCTGCAGCCTGTCCAGGTCCCTCTGAAAGGCAGCCCAGCCTCAGGTGGATCAGCCACTGCCCCAGTTCTGTGCCATCCCCAAACCTGCTCAGGGTCCATTCCATCCTTCCCCCAGGCTGTTGATAAACAAGTTAGATAAGACTGGACCCAGTACTGATCCCTGACTACAGACCTCCAGGGATTCTGCTCTGCTCACAACCCTCTGAGCTCAGCCATTGAGACAGTTCTTGATCCACCTCACTGTCCATTCATCCAATTCACATTTCCTGAGCTTATCCATAGGGATGTTACAGGACACAATGTCAAAATCCTGCTGAAGTCAAGGCAGACACCACCCACTGCTCTCCTCTCATCAACCCATCCTGCCATGCCATCATAGAGGGCATCAGATTGGTCAAGCAGGATTTCCTCTGGGTGAGTCCATGCTGACCACTCCCAATAACCTCCTTTACTTTCAGGTGTTTGGTGATGATCTTCACAATGAGCTGTTCCATCACGTTTCTGGGGATGAAGGTGAGGCTGACTGGCTGGGAGTTTCCCAGATCCTTCTTGCCCTTTTTGAAGACAGGACTTAACACTGGCTTTTCTCCAATCATTGGGCTGCTCTCTCATTCTCCAGGGTTTTTTGAAGATGATGAAGAGTGGGTGAACAACAACCTCTGCCAGCTCCCTCAGCACCTGTGGGTGCATCCCACCATGGATTTATGGGTGTTAAGTCTGCCTCTCTCTCAACTTTCTGTGACCAAGGGGAAGATTTCCTTTCTCCATCCTTCACCTCTTACTTCCAACATCTGCGATTCCTGAGGGCTGCTCTCAGCAGTAAAGACTGAGGCAAAGAAGGTGTTGAGTCATTTCACCTTCTCTGAGTCTTCCATGCCCAGGACACCCACTGGATTCAGCAGCAGCCCCACATTTTCCCTAATCTTCCTTTTGCTGCTGATGCACTTGGACAAGCCCTTCTTGCTGTTCTTGATGTCCCTTGCCAGCCTCAATTCCAAGTGGACTGCAGCCTCCCTCATTGCATCCCTGCATACCCCAAAGATGTTCCTATAGATCTCTCATGTGCCTGTCCCTTTTTCAACATCCCATAAATTTCTTTCTTCCATTTGAGAATTGCTAGAACCTCCCTGCTCTTCAATGCAGTTCTCCTGCCCCCTTTGCTTGATTTCTGGGTCATGGGGATTCACTGGTCTTGAGTTTGGATACTTGAATATTGACCAGCTTTCTTAGGCCCCCTTCCCTTCAAGAGCCCTGTTCCCTGGGATTCCTCTAAGTAGGTCTTTGGAAAGGTTGATTAAACCCTCTGGAAAATCAGGGTTCTAGCCCTGTTACTGCTTTGCTCCCCACACAGGATCCTGAGCTTCACCATAACATGGGTCACTACAGGCAAGGCTTTCCCCAAGCTCCCCATCTTCAACCAGGCCCTCCTGGTTTGGCAGTACAGAACAGAAACACACCTCTCCTCCTTGGCTCCTCCACCACTGGTATCAAAGTTATTCTCAATGATCTGCAGGAACTTCCTGGACTTCCAGCCTGTGCAGGGCCGTGTTATCTCTCCAACAAATCTCAGGATGGCTGAAGCTCCCCAGGAGAACCAGGACCTCTGACCATGAGGCTGCTTCCAGCTGCCCAGAGAAAACCTCATCAGCTTCCTCCTCCTCACAGGTGCCCTGTAGCAAATACCCACCACAGTGCCACCCACAATCTGTAACAACAATCCCACAGCAACTGACAAAGCCCTGTTCTCACACGGGTCTTCCCCCGTGCCTGGAATGCAGGGTTAGAAATGTGTTAGAAACAAAGGCAGCAGGATTGAGAGCAGTCTGCAGCACTGCAACTCCCCAGACAGAGGCAGAGCCCACCTCTGTGATGGGGGACAGCATTTGGCAGCTGAGGAACAGCCCCTGGGCTGCCCAGCCTGCTGGCAACAGGGGCAAGCTGAGCTTGATGCCTCTGCCCTGAACCATCAGGAGAGGGAGGAGCAGGAGAGGAAGAGCGGGGTACAGAGCTGAGATGGCCCCAAACAGGAGAGCTGGGAGTGTGTGGCTGCCCTCAGGGCTGGCTGGAATAACCAAACCCTCTGACAGGGTATGTGCAATGCAGCTTTCCTTTGCTCACTCAAGGAACAGCCTGTCCCCCAGCCCAGGGAGCAGCAGCCACTGCATGGGGACAGGAGCCACACCCATTATGACCCCAAACACACCATTATCCTTGCCTATGTTTGGTAGTGTCACCTGCTCATCCTTGGGAACCCAGCAGGGAGAGACTGAAAGTGTGCAAGGAAAAAGGGCTGCACCCTTTCAACCCCACCACAGGGATCAAGGGGGTCTCACACTGGGTTTAAGCTCCAGAAACCCTTTGTGCACTGCCCCAAAGCTTTGGGATCCCAGAATTAGCTCAGCTTTTCCAGGGAGTTTCTGGCCAGAGTCATATCCCCGTTCTCCCATCCCTTCCTCCACCCTCCTGAAGGTTTCCTCACCCCAAACCTGCTGCCACCCAGGACTGTCCACCCACACCTGACAGGCTCTGCTCCAGCCCTGCTGGCTCCAAGAGGCCCCACTCTGCAGCACAGAAGTGACCAAGCCTGGGCTTCTACTGACTCACATCTCGAGGTCTCCAGTGGGGCTGGCTGGTGTCTAACAGGCTCCTGCTCTGCTGTGGGAGTAACAGGATCTCTATTTTCTCCCTACTCATCTGGATTTATGAGCTCTGGAGGAGTTTATCATCTTCCACGCCTCAAAGTTTGGCTAAAATCAGCTGGATTGTGAAGGAAAGATGGAGATTGTTGCTGGGAAGAAAGGAAAGGAGGGACAGGCAGAGCTGTTGTATCAACTTTGTTCAGAAAATCAGGCTAAAACCTTTCCCAAACTGCTCCTTTTCCACAAAGTGCTTCTTATGACATTTTCCTAACAAAAGTGTTCTGACTTTTCATTTAAAATTACACTTCCCTTAGAAAAAGTGTACCAAAAAAAGTTAAATAATCCCTCAATAGCTGACATTCAACATGAAAATAAAAATCATGAAAAGGGTCATTAACACTTGTATTTAATTGCAAAAATTAAAAACTTTTTTATTCTTCTTACATACAAATCTCATTTATTTACATACTTTATACAGGCTCTTCCCAAGTATTTACAAAGTTTGCAATATATTAAATTAGGACCATCCATAAAATTCTGCATTAAGTGCATATTCACATTCTTTTTTTTTTTTAATCCATCACTAAGTTTAGTGTTCAGCATTGAAACAGTCTTTATGCATATATAGCTTTACTTCCCAGCACCTCTGAGCCTTTAGAATGTGGCTCCCCTCCCCAAGACAAGGAGATAATGCTAAAAATAAATCACCTGTCATTTGTTTCAATCTCCAAAGCAAAGGGAAGTCCAGCATCTCCCTTGTCTAACTCAGCAGGACACTAAATCTGCCCTTTACAAGGAGGAGGTTCCTGAAGAGGAGGATTTGGAGTTCTACCTATAAAATTTACCAAGAGGAGAAAATTTGGTTTGCAGGAAGCAAAAACTCTTTGTGCACCCACCAAAATGGCCTCACCCCAGGAAATGTTCAATAATTCTCTTGGGGGCCATGGGGCTGAATGAGGACCTGGGATTGGGGTGTGGAAATTTCCCTCCTGGAGGGAGGGAACAAGAGGGTTTCAAGGCAGAAGGATCCCCTTTTCTGAGACACTGGGGATTATAGAGCTCACATCTCTACCATGAGATGCTCTCCTGCTCCCCACCTCCTCCTGCTGCTGCTGGAGCCCAGGAGGCCATGAGGGAAGGGAGGTGCTTTGATCCAGCCCAGACAAAGCAGCTTCTCCTCCAGAATATTCCAAAAACAGGCCTGGTGAGAGAAGCTGCAGTCTGGAGACTCATGGGGAATCTGACTCAAAGCTCTCCAGGGCCTTGCAAAGAGACCCCTCAGGGGAATCAATGTGTGCAATAACAGTGGGCAGGGAAAAAAAATGAAAAGGAACAAAGAAAGCAAAAAAAAGAATCAATAGAAACTGCCAGGTTGGCTCCCATGGGGCCACTGGTTTCCTGGTACTGCAGTAAATCATAATAATCCTTTCTCCTCCTTTCAGTTACCCTGAGTTCGGGACTGACTGACAGCACTGGTCAGTGACCCCTGCTTTGGGGAGCAGCTTTAAACCACGATCCTCCTGCCCAGCTGATGGGGACAGCCCATCCTTCCAGCCTGGCAAGGGCAGAGGTGCCCCCTCCTCACCTCTGCCCGCTGGGCTCGTGGGTAGTACCGATTCTGGTGTGGTTTCAGAGCAGCTTTGCAGCCTTTGGGATGTGGGGTGAGGAGGAATCCCCCTCCCAGCTCACAGGCAATGAGCTCTGAAGCACACAAAGGGATTTTAAAATGTATTAACTGGGAACTTGTGTGAGCTGGGCAGAGTGGGAGTGGGAGATTGTCCAAACCAGCACAGAGAGTGCAAAAGGGGAGCTGAGGGAGACCACGGTGGGACACCCTCTCTGTGAATCAAGTGATCATGGCTGTGAAACCTCAATAGCTGCAGGAACAGCCCCTGTTCCACCTCAGCAGCCACCAGGACCACCAGCCTCTCCAGGGAAGTCCTGCAGCCTTTCCAGGGACGCTGGGAAGCTGCAGATCTGGATGTGGAAGACAACCAGGTATCAAAACCTCCCTTTGGCCATCCCAGTTCTGCCCTTGTGGCCTCACCTCTGGGTTTCCCACCGTGGCTCCTCGCCTGCCCTGGGATGTGGAAGGTGTGAGCACCACTCCTCTGGCAGCTGGAGACAGGAGCTGCTCTGGAAGCTGTGCTGCAGACTGGGGCTCTGCACTTTGGCCAAAATTGACTCTATCAGCAGGAGAACTGCCCTCCTGTTATAGTTTAGCAGCTAATTCCTTACAGCCTTTGGAAGAGGAAGAGAAAATATACCAGAGAGCTTAAAAACAAATGATGTAAGCCCCGAAGGGAGCGGGGCTGGGACATATGCAATGTATCTGAGACAGAGCTGGAAACTTATGCAGAGCCCATAAAGTGCACTTGGAAGGCTGCTCTGCAAACAGGCCAGACTCAGCAGCTCCTGTCCAACCAGCTGCAACTCTTCGAGGAAGGCTGCAACTCTTCGAGGAAGGGAGAAGCACGACGTGAGAACATTTCTGCTAAACAGGCACAAACCTGCCCCTTCCTCCCCCTAGTCCAAACAACAACTGTAAATAGATCCATTTTCTCTGCTTCTTCCTGAAAGAGCCAGACAGCCACAATGGCTTAAGTGAGACTCTCAAAATCCAGGCATTTCACAGACACTTGGGAATTATCTCCGCAGCTCTTTTACAAGTTACAGTCAAGGACACTTAGCAGTGACAGTGTCACCAAACCGCCACAATCTCAGCAAGAATGGCTCCAGCAGCATCTTTGAGCAAATGCTTTACAAAAATGGGTCAGATACAAAAGCAGTAAGAGGTGCAGTAACCTGGTCAGCCTTTGAATTTGATTTGAGAAGCTGCCAAAGTGTAAATAGCAACAGTCACTAATGAGGCCCTAATTTTGCCATCACTGAACTCCCAAATTTCCATTAACTAAGACCCAGGTTTTAAGAGGAGGGAGAGGGGTGGTGTGTGTGTGTGTGTCTTGGCATGTACAAGATTGAATGTAGTGTCATGAGTGTGAAATACACTCCAAGCAGTGAGAACACTAATGGAAGTTCTATTAGTCCAATTCCCTTTACTACTTGGTAACAAATTATATTAGTCCTTTTCTATCCTGAGAGAGCCAGACTCTCCCCTTTTGGTTCTACTAGATCTGGTGTGTGTCCAGCACCAAGGGCCATGCACAGACTGACACAGGTGCTGGGCTTGTTCTCATTGTTTTGACAGGAGAAAAACAAGGGTTATGCATAGAAATGTTTGTAGTGTCAAGGCCTCAGACTCAATTCTTTGGAGCAGGAACTGTCCTCTGCCTTATTCTTGTACAGGAGCCAGAAGTGGTCATCCCACTTGGCAGCTTTTGTCAACTCCTAATCAGATTAGCACAATGTTTGCTCCCATTCTCCTCAAAAACAAAGGCTGGACAGACATTTTCCCAATCTGTCATTTTACATGTACCTAAAATATTTACAGAGAAAAAGGCTCTTGCTCCTGAGAACAGAGTTAACTCGCTGTCAACCAAAACCCCTCCCAACTCCATATTAACAAGTGTGAGAGAGTATGTCCTGAACTCCAGCCCTGGCCTATGAGTTCAGCCTGACACATCTGTAAATGATCTTCAGCAGTGGGATCAGACCCAAAGGATCAGACTTGGAAGGGACCGGAGCATCCGCAGTCTGCAAACCCCGAACCCGAGCCTCTCTCAGGGCACTGGAGACAGCGCTGCTCCAGCAGCAGGAAACACGCAAAGGCAGCTTGGAAAGGACCCAGGAAAAACCAACGTTCATTCTGAAGACAGAGTTCCAGGTCTGGAAGGAGTCAATGCAAAAATATGCCAGGGAAGAGGGAGGTTTCAGGTGCTCCCAGAGGTGCCGTGGGCTGGGAACGCAGGCAGTGCCTCCAAAGCAAGGAGCAGCTGAGAATGGCTGTGCAGCCCTTGGTGTCTGAGGTGAAAGCTGGACAGAGCTGCTCTCTCCCAGCCCCAGCTCCATCCAGAACTCCTGCACTGCCAGCACCTCTGAGATGTGTGTCGGTGTTTTTGCAGGAAAGGAAGTGGAGGTGAAGAAAAGCACAATTACCATTTGACTCACTCACAACCTGCTGTCAGAGAGCTGCAGAAAGGCGATCACAACACAGAGAGGCCTGAAGGGATTCTTTTGGTACAAGAAGGATGCAGTGGGTGAGAGTTTCTGCCCTCAGGCTCAAGGCTCTCCCCAGCCTGGGAGCAGGAGCCAAGGTCAGCTCTGCAGGGCTCACACAGCTGCGGACGTGAGGGAGAGCTGGGACACATCACCAATTCATTCCCTTTATAGAACTGGCCTGACTACACAGGCTCAAAGCTTCCTCCTCAGGAGGAATGTACACAGAAATGTCACACACCCCATCCACTCCCAAACCCCCCAGGAAGTTTCAGAAGTGCCATAATCCACAGAGAACATAAGGTGAATCTCATCCTGAGAAATCCATCTGCTGCTCCTGGAAAAAAAAACCCTTTGCTGCAAACCCAGGGCTTACCTGAGGGGACAGGGAGGGTCATAAATAGCTTGAGCTTCTCCCAAAATACATTTGAGGAAAGGCAAAGGATTACCTCAAGGGTCAGGAAAATAGTCCTTTTAAAACACTGTAAACATGCAGGGTGGCAAAGCTGCCTGCCCCAGTAGCCCCGGCTCGCTCCTCTCAAGTCGTTGCCTTGGCTTCAAAGCTGAAAGCCTTGTTGTCCTGGGAACAGCTCTGTTTTCCCACCCCAGCATCCTTAGCTGGCAGCTCCATCACAAATCACAGCTGGCTCTGTCCCTCTAGCCATGAAGCTCATTGTCCAGTGATCTGTGCTGGCATAACCTTGGGAAGAGGCAATGGAGAGGCCCTGTTAGATGAACCCATCCTTAATGAGTGCTCCCATTTCCCACAAAGGGATGTGGTCATGCTGGAGCTCTTTGGGAAGATAATTCCCTCAGTGGGCACTGGGTTTTTAATACCCATTGTGCACCCCCACTG